CATGCTGAGTTTAAGTTAAAGCGCCAGTTTGTTTTGACTAAGGAAAAATAGAGTAATTGTTCCATTGCAAATAATGGTTTTTGGGTAAAAGGTGCATGTTGCATGTGAAAAAAACACACAGTATTACGATGTAGAAGAAGAGCTAATCAAAACTTGTGTTTAATCTTGGTACTGCAGTAGGGGGTGGCCTGAACTCCATGGTAATGTATAGTTTGAGAGAACTAATATGAAACCAGCAGGTAAATAATCACATTATTTGATAAACTTCACTCTCTCACCTAGTCAGTGCTACAGTTAATATCTAGATGTATAAATGTGGGAAGTATGAGTTTCTAATTTTCTCAGTATTAAAAGGTGTAAGAAAGCCATGAAAATAGTCCAAATAAAAAAAAAAAATCATATTTCAGTACTTTAATTTGTATATGTTAAACAACACACCTTAAACTTCTACTAAAAAGTCACACTTGATGCCTTTGTATATGGTGCTGATTTTGGTTGGAAAATATTTTGTTCTCTAAATTAGGGTTTAGGGGAGAAATGTTGCCTGATAGCTTTTGCACCGATATATAAGAAAAGCATTATAACAATCCATAGCAACAAGGCCCGTTACATCATGCTGTCTTGTGGTAAGTCTAAAAGGAATACAGCCTGGCACAGAAGCATTTCCAGTCAGTATTGTTTCCATTAACAATGCTTCTGTTTAATGTGCGCCAAAAGTAAATAATGCACAGTTCAAACCCACCTCTTTTCTCCCACTGTTAATGACACAAAGCATACCATCCCAATCCATTCCATGTCCCTCAATCTAGAAATCAGAGTAACAGGTAACACAATAATAACTGTTTGTTACACAAGTCATTCAAAAATGTTAGTCATCCCTAATTTTAGATTACTTGCAACTAAATTCCACTGTGACTATTCTAACCAGCAAATTTCCCTTTGAAAGATGGAATTTAAGTCATCTGTCCTTTTTAAGAGGGTAATTGAAAAACCTCTTCGTCTTATTCGAACACCTATTTCACTAATACATGCATTCACCTCTAGGACAATGAATATGATGTATTATCCTCATCTTAAAAAGTGTTAGTGGTATACTCCGTCAAGTTATCCTTTGTTCTTCAATTGTGGAGATTAAAGCAAACTACCTGCAATTACAAAGGGAAAAACAAATCCGATTCTCCCTTATTTTAGATAGACCCCACCCCCCACGCACACAAACATTACACTAATTTCAGTCTTCGTAGAATCTTTGTCAAGATCAGCCATTCCTTAATCATTTACATGGCTGTTTTGTTATCTAGCATGTCTTTTTTAAGTAAGGCAATCCACAATAAATGCTAAACACAAAATACTGGTGTAGGGTTACCTAAAGTAACCTTCATCTCTTTTCTCATAATTTAAACACTCCAGTTTTAGCTCCCACACATTTTAGGGGGTGCCTATTTTTTATTTATTTATAACTTGCCCCTCTATTTTTCATGTTTCCTATCTTTTTCTAGAAGAGTTGGCACTTTTTGTAAAACATCTTAAGCAACTGTAGAAAATACTTTTTTCTCTCCCTTCAATGCATTATTTGGCTTTTGGTTCTCCCTTCCACTTCCTACTTTCCCAAGAAGCACGGATCATTGACTGAGGTGTTCTGGTGCTCCTAACAGCCCTGAGAGATAAAGCAGGTACCTCACTGCTGAGTTTTATTTACACTCACTTTACCCCAGGTCAGATTGGCAAGAACCTTCTTGCCCCACCCCTTCTCTGTAGCATGGTAGAAGGTTCACTTCCTAAAGTCATTTCGCCTACATATTCCATCATCCTAGCAGTGTTTCCAGTGCTTAGTCTCTTCTGCAGTCTTCACTTGTCACATTGTATGAATTTTTTTCATTTTGGTCATGTTTGTAGCATGGGATGCTGTTGTGGCCTATTTTGGATAAGTATGTATTATACTGCAATAACATCCACAGAACATATCTGAAATGCCAGGGATATGTGTAGTTTAGAAGACAGAAAGAAAAGGCCCTTCAGTTTTTTTAAAAGACTTTTTAACACAGACCTGCAAGTAAAGGGTCCATAAAGATAACAGTATATCATCATATTCCCTCCAAAATGAAATCTCTCCAATATATGGCAGGAGGATACTGAATCTCTTCTGAAGAATTTAGCATCCTTCTAAAAAGTAATAGAGCACCCCAAAAAGCAAGTATTGTTCATCAAAATCCTTGTCAATATGAATGGGATACTGGAATTAGTATATCTGCAGCCTGAAAAAATTAAATTTAAAGAACACTGACCAGGGACAAAGCCTAATCAAGACCTACATTGTCCGTTAAACATTTAGTTCAGTGCCCTGCTCTTTGCAAATAGACTTGCCTCTTGTAAGGGCAGTTTAGATCATTTGCATCCAGAAGTCTCAGAGCTTCATGTCTTCCTGTGCTCTGATAACTTACTGCCATGGTGTTCAGCTCAACAGGCCCTGTTGGCCTGAATGGTGTTGGATCAGATCTGGCCTGTGGGGCACCTAATGAGTCTGGAAATCTGGTGGCAAAAGCAGCAGTGGCAGCATTACTTGTCATGGCTGAGGGACACAGTTAAAGTGTCACCACTCTCCCACCATGGGAGAGTAAATTTCCATATCCGTGGAGAGACTGTGGGCTGGCTGACAGCTCTGCAAGCCAGACCCACTCCCCATGCCATACCTTGGTCACCCCCTGACCCATCACATTGATCCAGGCCTGTAAGTCACAATAAATGATTTGTTTTTTCATAGCAAAGGTGAGGGAGATATAGAACTGATAAAATTAGCATAACAATGCTCATTCAAGTGGATTGTATTTTAAAAAGTGAACAGGACAAATGTTGCATAATATACATTTAGAGCTTGCTGTACTAAAGTACCTTTTCATTTTAAATAGCTTTTTAAGTTGAAGATAAAAGGTACTGAGGCTAGAATTCAAGTATTTAAGGGCTTAAGGATGCAAGAAGGTGCCTTGTGCAATTTTTCAAAAGCACCTAATAGTATAGTCTGTAGCCAGTAATGTTGCGCTAGCACACTACAGATGGCCTATTCAGGTTTTGGTCCCCCCGTTTCTCCTTCCACTACTAGAGTGAGAAGCTTCCAATATTTTTGGCTGCATAAAAACATCCAAGTGTGAAAAATGCTATGCCAGTTTTCAGAAGAGTTCAATTAGAATCACAAGCTGGGTAAAAACAAAGAGAATCGGAGAATATTTTACACTTACACTATATTCTTCATTGAGGCTCCGAGGTACCATGTAAAAATTAATGCATTTAATCTCAACACTGCAATGGAGTATTTTTCAAATGTAGAAACTAAAGACAACAATATTGAATTATTTCATTGGTTCTCAGCCTTTTGTTTAGATTCAAGGCACCCTGGTTGAGAGCCACTGTTGTACTACCTGTCTTCTCTGGCTCTCAACTGAGGTCCTGCTCCACATAAAACTGCCCTGTGTGCCTCATATGAAGCTGGACCAGGAAGGGCTGTGGCAGGAGCCACAGCCTGCCAGCATTAGGGTTACATGATGAGCTTAAAGTTGACAGGACCTGCTAACTCCCAACTCCTGGAAACGGAAGTGCTTGTAACAGGACTGGGTTCTTCTGCCTGCTCCAAGTTTATCTGATAACCCTAATGCAGACAGGGGTGTGCGCTCCCAGTCTGGCTCAGCATGCCAGGCAGTCCCACCTGCCTGCAGTGGTGGCAGCAACAGCACCTGCACTGCAGCATCTCTGAAAAGCTCTTGTAGCACCATGGTTGGGAAGCACTGAATTATGTGAAGCAAGGCCATACAACACCAGTACATGGCAAAACCAGGAACAAACAAACAAACACAAATCGTTTCCTCACAGTAAAATTTAACTAGTTAAAAAAAGTTTACTCTTTAAATGTAAAGTTATTAAAAACAGTAATGCAAAACAGGACTTAGAAGCAGACTGCGTTTCCCAAGCCTAAAAATAATTAAAAACGTTAGTATTATGAATAGCAGCAAATTACATAAAAGCCTATTATTTAGAAAAATGCATTTTACTGCAAGTAAAAAACACAAAGAAGTCAGGCCTAGATTAAGTGTAAGGAGTGTAACCAGGTGACTCAAAATCAGATTAAAACTGAAATTTTGGTTAAATGCATTGCGAGTCTTCTCCTAAATTAGTCAGACTTCAAACTATTTGATACAGTGACTTTCTATTTTTGTACTCAATCATATTTGTAATCCTACCTGAACAAGTATGTACTTTAAGTCTTTCCTCGACATTTTAGAGTTTCAAGTCAACAACAAAATTTTACCCAACATAATTCTTTGCAACCGTAGAATAATTTGTCAGTCATCCACATACAGCCGAAGACCTACCTAAATCCATACCTAAATGGAAGTTTGTGATGCAGGGGCGCTTTTAATCTTACTCTTTTCACCACAGCTCCTTCCCCCACCCAGGCCACTGAATGACCAAGAGGCAATTAATGCCAGTTTTTGCCCCTCAGACTCTCAGTGGCTTGGATCTCAGTGTCGTGGAGGGGAAGAATGCTGAAAAGAGCGAGATTAAAGGTACTGCTGCACTGCAAACTTTCACTGCGATTTAGGTAGGTCCTTACGTATAGCTTTGTTGTGACAAAAAGTAGAAACTGTTGATTAAAATGTGCTCTTTGGAGAGCCATTCTGAAATAGGATCAAATATCATACTTCAGCTTTGGGTCCAATGTATTTGTTTGTTTGTTGTTTTACCCTTTGCAGCTTTAACAGTTTCTCTTCCAGAACTAATCAAAAACCATTGTAGACAGCCTAACTGTAAAATACAATACAGTCACAATTCACAAAGAAAAAAACTGAAGACATTAAAACAAAAGTCTTCTGACCAAGCTTAACCTGAACAAAGTGAGGTGTCAGACCAAAAAGGCACTGCTTGTCCAGGGAAGTATTTTCTTTTTATATTCCTGTAGCAGCTGAACAATCCCTGTAGCCTCTCACTATTCAAAAAGTTTTGAGAATTAGTGAAAAATAAGCAATATTTTATTTAAAAAACCAGGTCTGTGCATGTTACATTAGCACTGGCTTGACTAATTTTGAAACAAGTATCTGTTTAATGACAAATTAACATAAATTAGACATGGCATGAGACATCTCTGATTATTTTCTTCCAAAATGTGGAAAAGTAAACCCATCTCTACACCAACTGTTTTACACTTTTTATTGGAGACAATGACTAACATTTTAATGAGGGTAAAATTCAGTAAAATGAATGGAGACATCAGAATACAACTTTTAAAGGTACTGGGAGCTGTGCAAGTAATTCCACTCCAAAAATGTACCCCTCAAATATATGGAAACAGGCACTCCATCTAGCAAAACAAAGTACTCATTTCTGCTTTTCAGTCATCATCCACTGTTGGCTTGATTGTCACTCCTCTTCTAATTTGACCCCAGCCAATTAAACTGCAAAATAAAAAACAAAAATAAGTTATTTATAACTGTGTTTGAAAAAATATCCTGAATAAATCCACATGCAGTCCCATTTCCATGTTGAATACTAATACCAAAAGGTGCTGAATATAACTCTAACCAATACTTATCAAATCCTAGGAAGATTAGCTACTAGTGATGCAGGAAAGGAGAAAGTGAGGGAAAGGAAGCACAAACATGACTAGTTTTTAAAGCAGTGGGATCATTTAAGAATTTACCATTGAACAGGGAATTAAAAACACCTACAAAGGTTTTATTCTCAACAACTATATATGGCTAACTGTAAAGATCAAGCTGTGCACAGTTGTCTTTTCAACTGTTTCCAACTTATTTTTTAAAAGAAAATTGTGTGAAGACAATCCTCAAAATATTTCACTGTGAAATCATGATATTTCCTCTATAGCTTGCACACTGAGTGGACTCAGTTCTAAAATCGTTCAAACTGTTTGTACAAGTGGAAGCACTTACTACTTCCCCTTACACACCGCTTTTAATACATTCATTTGCTATTCTCCATTAAGATGGATATTCCAAGTAAGCTTTAAGGACTTTTCACTTCCCCAGATTCTAGGGCAGTGGGGGCAGGTGTGCCACAAGTTAGCTCTGCACCCTCCCTAAGTTCACTCCAATCCCCTTTTTCTGCCACTATGCTTTCTTCTCCCTTCCTGATCTGCCAGTGTGTTGTCTGCCCCCTCCCCAATCTATCAAATGCCACACACACAGGATGTCTGTACCACTTGGGCTACAGGCTGGCCACCCCTGTAATGGGCAGGTATTAGATACAAGTGCCTTTAAGACTCTCCCAGTTTCTTACAGAGATGTGCAAAACCTGGCATTAGTCTTAGCTTTATCTGCCAAGAAAATTAGGGCCAATCATCCCAGAGAACAGAAAATACAGATAAAAGTGGAAATGAAGTAAACAGAATCCAGCATCCCTAACCTTCCTCGGTTGGAGCCTGAAGTTTAGGACTGATCCACATTTGGGCACTGTGTGTTTGTGCACAAGATCATTGCTGCATCTTGTGTCTCCATCCAATTCTTTCCATTTTAATTCTTGAACTGCCTCTTCCATGCATGTGATTTTTACTCCTTCCCCCTAACACTCATCCCTTTTTTTTGCCTTTCTGCAGTACCTCATTCCTCAGATCCAGCTCTCTCACCCTTCAACACCTGCACTATCATATCATTCTTTTCCACAGGTGGAAATAATCTGCTTCCCCATTATTCTCTTCCTGCTATCCTTCCTTTCTGCCAGGTTCCTCCTATTGCCTGGTTTTGATTTTTCCTGGTTCTCTTCCTTTACAAAATAGCTGGAAACATTCTAAAAAGAAGGTACCTGGAGGATGCTGTATCCCCAAGCAAAGGGGATCCATGAGGGCATTTTGTCGAAACCAGAAGAAAAAACAGAATAAAAATAATGGAACAAAAAAAGCAAAAAAACCCCCCTGAACTTGTTCCAGTGACAGCAAGCCAGGTAGAAACATATCATTGCTAAAGTGTTTAGCAATATGTACCTATCCACACAGCAATCTTTCTTCTCTATGACTTCTCATTTCTTTCTGGATGCCAAACCTTTTCTCTGTTCAGCATGTATGTACTTGCTTTCTTAGCTGCACAGTAACCACTCCCTTAATATTTGTTAGCTACCCCTTTAATGCAGGCACCTGGCACTCAGGTCTGCTATTCTGCTGCACAGCTGCAGAAAAAGCTAGCAGGGTATAGTGGTAAAGCAACAGTCTGCCATACTGCCTTGGAAAAGTTTTCTAAGATAAGTATTCAAAATCCTGTACTGTCCCAGCCAAATCAGGAGTATGGAAACAGTTCACGTTCCCTTCCTTTCTTATCTTTTCCCTGCCATTTCCCCCAGAGGTCAGGGAGACTAGATCCCTTGGTATTTCTGTCATCTATTTTTTGTGGGAACAGGCAAGCAATTTGAGTGAGCAGCTGCTTGTAGAGAAGTTTGTCAATAAAAAAACTTAAAATATGGCTAACAACCACTCTGCTCCCAAAGTTCAGGGTTCTGCTACCGGATGCCACTGTCTCACTCTCTTTGTTCTTTATGCTGGCAATCCAACTGATTCCCCATGCACTTTCCCTCCAAATACACTGGAGCCAGAAAAAAAAAAAGGCCTTGTCCCTTTGCATCCCTACTCTTACTCTTTGTTCTTATAAGGAGGCACACAAAGTTGCACATAGGCTGAATTTCCAGGCACAGCTCCATAGATAAAAGTACACCTGCTTTAATCCACAGAAAGGAATTAAGTATAAATAAAACATTTTCCAGATACCAGTATCATGAAGTTCAGAGTAGCTATCAGTACTCTGTGATGGGGTTGTGTAATATAAAGTTAACTCAAAGCACCAGAAAGTTAACTAAGTTTAACATTAAATAATATATAACCGATCATTCTACTTGTGACAGTTTTGAAAATGATGCTGTGGCACTTAAATAATTTAACAGAAACACAAATGAATCTTTGACCAGAGACAGATGTGCAGATTTGTTATTGAAATACTGTAGCAACGAGATGCATTATTATATTATCAACTTACCGCCAGTGTTTCTCAACTCTTCGACTAAGGGCAATTTTTTCTCCCACTTCTGTGCACACAGGGTTAGTTAGCACAATCTTGCCCAAATCAGCCTTCACTGCACTAACTCTCCCTCCAGTAGACAAAGATCCTATGTTTACCATTAAAACTTCATTCTTGGATAGTTTTTGCACCTGAAAGGTATAGAAAATTCTGAAAGTTAAGTTAAATTTTGAAATTTGCAATTTAAGATAATTTTACAGTACAACGAAAGGCACCACAATATTGATTTCTACTTCTACAAACTGAGGGGAAAAATACTGTGAAAGAGGTGCAAATTCTAAATGCCTAGGATCATTCCACACAAACAGGGTAAAATGTCTGACCCATGACGAAGTGTCTCATTTTTACCTTTTTTTATATATAAATCTTAGCACATGTAATGCACAAGGTTCCTTGCTGCAAAGGTGATCTAGAAAAAAGACTGGCCTATCCTAGTCTAGAAAATAATTTTAATTTCAGGACTGCATAAATTAAAAAGAAAGCCAAATTTCCTCTCTACCAACTCTAAGTAGAATATATCTATGGAAACAGCTTGTATCTATGCAAGACAGATCACTGCCACCTCCTTCCACCAAACAGAATCTCCACCCACACACCAAAACAATACCATGATGGTTTTGTTTGTTTGTTTGTTTAAGAACAGGTATACAATATGCTAACCTTTGCAGCTTTCTTGTCACCTTCAGTGCGTACACCTAGTAGTCGCCTAAGTAGAAAATAGGAAATTTCTAGCTCCGTGAATATTTCAGGCAGTGCTCCAACTGCACCAAGAACCTGCCCAACCATTCGGTCAGCCCGGCACAAAGTTGGATCAATCTTTGTGCCAACACCTGTTACAGAACAAGATAACTTCTGTGAAATAATTGAAAAGCAAACATTGTATTTACATCCATTATATATACTCAAAGATAGTTTATTTCATTGTAGGTTATTACTCAATGTAATAAAGCATTCACTCAACCCAGATGAAGACAGATAGCAGATATTTTACTGTAATTTAGTTCTGAATATCTAGCATTTAACCAACCAGAAATTCCATTAACCGGAATTTCTGGCAGGCTGGGCATAGACTGGGCAGGGGGAAAGCTTGCATGCAGCAGCAGCTGCCACCACCCTGCGCTGCCGCCACTACCCCTCCCTCACTCCACATGCTACCGATGCCACCACCTACCACCCTGTCCTCCTGCCCACATGCCCTTCCCCTCCTCCCTGCCGCCCCATGTGACTGGCACCCCCTCCCCAACAGGCAATCCCCTTACCTCGGGGATGCCGGATAACAGAGATTTTACTGTATTTATTTAAAAGGCCCGGTGATATGTAAATCATCTGTAAGCAAGGCCCTGGTACTCAAAGAAGTGCCATTTCACAACACAAATCTCCTAGAACTGACTAAACTCAAGTAAATAGCTAAATTATACACTGCTTAGTATTACTGCATAAGATATTTTATTACATTCATGCATACTGAAAAGTGATGTGGAACTGCATATTAATATAGTAACTGCATAGAATTGAGTTTTCAGGGGAGACATGCAAACTTTTTGGCTTCCTGTATTAAGTGCACAGTTATATAAAACCAAAGGTTTTGAAATACAATAAGCACCAGGAAAAAAAAGCCTCCTCATAAGAAAAAAAAAAAATGACCAGTACCTATTAGGCCTCCTGGAGCAGCATACTGTAGATCATTGTGTTCTGCAAAAAGGGACACAATTTTGGAAAAGATTGGCTTGCACATGAGTTTTCCTTCACTGTCCTTGGAGACTATACCAGGTCTGACTTCAATTTCCTGGCCCACCTGATTATCATAGAGAAAAAAAAATAGATACATGTTGTTTCACTACAGTGCAAAGTTAGCCGTTTTTCAAAATCACAAGTATTTAAATTTTTTTCATACTGGGTTTACATAGAACTCCCAGGTGTATTCAGCATTTACTGAAGGTTCAACTATCTGCTATCTGCTTTAAGGTAACACTTAAAGTCTAGTTTACTACAAATTTAGCTAGTATATCGGAGCCAGAAAAACTAACTATCCAAACCAAAGAAAGTACGTGTTGTATAAATATCAAGTGTTAAATGTCCTGTTTACTTTCCAGTTTAACAGTCAGAGATGCTATTTAACAGCCAGAAATTTTAAAATATCCCATTGACAGTACCCTTCCCCCACAAAGAACCTGAATACATGGTCATGGGTACTGTTGGTATAGTGATGGAATATATAGCTAACACACCCAACTAGCTGCTAATTCTAAATAAAAGTCTCTCTCAAACTCCATCTTTTTTAAACTTTTACCAAACAAACATGTCCAGACAAGAAGAAACTACAACCCTTCTTGTTGCAAAGCATAAGAGGCACATATGAACTTCGAAGACGGTCAGTGTCATTTCAGAAGCTCTCTATATTGTTACTAGTAAAATTTAAAAGATTACTGTGACAAATATACAAAAAGTATTTTGGGTGCTTTACAGCTTTTGTGCAACGTTTACTATTTATCATTTCTATTTATTTTACAATAGAAAAGTGGGGGAAAAAACTTAAGATAAAAAATGCTTGTGAAATCACAGAGTTGCACATGCCAACATCATCTGAAACTTTTTTTTAATAGTTGGCTATACTGAGTAGTCGATGCATTACATCAAATACAAAAAGGTTTTGACTGGCCATAAAGAACCCCCCCACTGTGTTCCTGTTCATTACTATAATGAGGTATTCAGAGGTCAAGAAAGTAGCTGCTACCTTTAGTACTCCTTTTAGAATACTACCACCAGCTACACCACCTTTAAGATCATCAACTTCACATCCAGGCTTGTTGACATCAAAAGACCTAATTACTGAAAAAGAACACACACCTTCATTAATATCAGCACTTGGTAGATAAAATAATGCTGTTCTCTCTATGGCGCTGAATTATATTTGATTGTTTTAATAACGTGGAACACTGGCAAACTAGACTATATATCCCAGCACTTGTAACAGGAAAAAAAAAA